CTTCCTCTCAATTTAATACATGAAAGACACACTGTCTATCATAGAGCCCATGAAGTGACAAAAAATAAGACAAAGTTAGGCAAGTGGTATCACCTTATCAATGGGGTGAGGTATCCAAGAGTTTCCAGAATTCTATTTTTAGTAGAATTCTTCTTTTTGAAATATACCTGGTGGTTTATAAAAAATCAAAATGCCCTATTCCAATTCTAACAGTTTGTTGGGTGCAATAAAAATAATTTGATTATCATTCCCGGCCTTATTCTAATTTCCGTTTGAACTAAACAAACAGGTAAAGGTAAATCAGTCATTCAATGACTATAAATCAAATGGAACCTAAATTTTCAATTGAAAAAGATTGATTTTTTTTTTTTTTTTTTTTKTGACGTTGACAGTTTTGATTGGCCGTGCCATAACTTTTTGTTAGGGCCTATTTGGTTCGTGGGAATATGATAGAAGTTTGGAATCAGAATTGGGACGGGCCATCAGTTTGATTAGATGGAATCGTATTTATATTCTCATTTTCATTCTTGGTGGAATGACATTTCCTCATTTCCTATCCCTCCCTTGGGAGTAAAATCCCATTCCAGTTTGTTCTAATTCTCTTTCTGATTCTTGTCTGAACTAAATAGACTATAAGAATAGATCATTTTGATTCCTATTCTGATTTCGATTACAATTTTTAGTATAAACCAAAACATACCCTTAGTTCTTCTTTATATCTAGATGGCTGTCATGATTTGTTTTCAGGGTGTGTTAAGAACCCACTAAAATCTGTTATAAAGCTTCTAGATAACAGAAGGAAGAAAATTTATTAACTTATGACCATGTCTATATTACACCCAAATAAAAAAAAAAATTGAGCATTAATTGTTTAATGTTTACTCTTTGCCCATTTATGACTTAAAAAGGCAGAAGAGACTCATAATCTAAAAATATGATCATCTTGGTACAACATGGTGTTCTAACTATCATTTATCCGAACAGTCAGACCATTTTGGGAAGAGTGCAAATGTGTATCTTCCCAAAATGTGCTTAATTGGTGGATGGGAAATTTAAGTTTTATGAAATCAGGCCCTGAAATTTGATATGGTGATCCAAACACAGCCTAGTGATTGATTGCACTTTACATAACTACACATTTGTTTTCATGCTAACGCTTAGTTTGGGAAGAGTGCAAAATTGCATTGTACATATTTGCACTCTTCCCAAAAAGGGGCATATAGTATTTAAATTGTATGAAATCAGGTCCGGCAATTTGATGCCTTTACTAGCTCCTATTCTCCAAGCCATGCATGTCGATCCAAACACAGCCTAGTGATTGATTAGGTTGCATCTTATTAGGTCCAGTCAAAACAAACTCAGTCATTATTGAATTGGTCTGAAAGCATAAGATGGTGGTCAGAGATCGGCTTCTATGAGGGCAACCACACCATTCTAACAGTCTTTTGCAATCTTGTATATTGTATTAGGAATATCTCTCCATGAAACAAAGTATATAAGTATGGACATATTTTCAATGCAAGACAGTAAAAGCTGCCCATATGGGCTTTTCTCTAACTGAAGCCGAATTTAAATCAAACGTACATAAGATGGTGGTCGAATCAAACATTGAAATTTTTTTCATTTCCTTTGAAAAAAAGATCAATCAAATCAGCCCCTACAATGTTTCACAACATATTTCCGCTGTACATTGAAAACATCTTTTGGTGATAATATCAAAAATAACATTATCATCATCGGAAAATATTCTCAATATACGGTGAGGATGTGCTGTGGAACGTTGTGGGGGAGACAATACTTGTGGGGGCTGATTTGAACTCTGAAAAAAGATGAGGTTAGGCTTCTTTAAATGGTGGGTACGTAACAATTAATAAATTAAAGCTTACGTCCCGTTGCCCATGTATGAAACAATCTTAGATTTTACGTGATAACTAAAGTTTGTGATTGACATTTGAACAAGCAAATCAAAACCCGATTAGGGACGGGGAAATTTCATGCTTGTTGCTTTTGCTTCATAAAATATACATTTCATAATAACAAGTTGAAACTTTGTCAAAATACAACACGGAAAATGCATATGAATATGAAGACTTTGATCTTCAAATATAAAGAAAAAAAGGAAACAAACAAAGTAGTGAAGTACATAGCAGAAAATCTATGCTTGGTTTCAAATTGCAAAACCAAATAACTAATGAAGATTATTTGTCGCACAAAATCCAAAAAAATAAAGATTTGAATGATACAAGAAAATTAATAAAAATAGAGATAAAAAAGTAAGAAATAGAGCATACACAGATTTATGTGGTTAGATTTATGGCCCACATCCTGAGGTAAAAGAGGAGAAGAAATCTAATATAAAAACAACTATGAAGATCACATAGTAACCATCACATTTTTCACAAAAATCTTAAACCCCAAAGCACAAAAAGCCTCTCTATTTGTCCTGAAGGCTTCGTTTGGGATCAATGTATGAGGTTTTACATTGAACCGTAAAAAGTTGACTGTTACATCAAAAAGTGTGGAATTTTACATTAATTTTATCGATATAGTATTTATATCGATTATAAAATTTTACATGCACGTGATGAGATTTTACATCGATTTACAACGTAAAACTTCACTCCATCTAAATGCCAACCAAACCAAATTAGAATGGAATTTTACGTTGATTTTGATTTACTCCTTCCAAATGCCAACAAAACTGAACCGATGTAAATGTTTACATCAACCTTGATTTACATCACTTCCAAATGCAGTCTTTAAGTAAAAAAAAATGTATACAAGAGAAAATCTCCAAATTACATAATTCTTCATATTTCAATTGAATCCATAAGCTGAATATAGATTGGGTCCGTATTGCTCTAAGCTTCTACCACAAATCACTATGAAAAATTTTCTTCGGATTTTTCTCAGCTTTATTGGGTTATGGGGTTATGGGTAGGTAGTCATTTGAATTCCATGGAATTGAATCTGGATGACTTTACTGCCCACTGATCATCAAATTCAAACAGTCTCTCAACAATACTTTTTATAATTCTCTTCCTTATTCTTTGGGGTTGACACTGTTGCACGTAAAATTCCCAGAGTGATGAAATTAAAAGTGGTGGAGGGGGCCCCTTCAACCTTCATCTAATGGAATACGTGTAGATGCAGTTCAGAGCGAACTACAAACATTCTCTTGATAACTTAGTAAAGCAGTAGAGTAGTAACAGGGCTGAGATGAGCTGAGCTGAGATCTGATGAGAGTCCACCGTCCATAGCAAGAAACTTCATCCTCTCTGTGAATCAAATATTAAAGAAAGAAGAAAAGGTTCAGCAATTGGAGGGGGATGGCCGCGTTCCTGGGCCGACCTCATTTGTCGTCGTTAGCTGCTGCTGCTGCTGCTTATCTCTAATATCGCTGTCGTTGTTGTGCCTTTAATTTGCTCTTTCTTTTCTCTATCTTCTTTATTATATTCGTTTTGTTTGACTTTACTACCCATACATATATAACTGTATCACCCGTCATTAATTACAATAATGTATTATTTAAGCAATTGGAGGGGGATGGCCTCTCTGTTTCATTACAACGTACTGGTCAGCTCCATTAAAGATGATGTTCTTTCAGATAAGCAAAGAAACAGAAGCAAAAGAGGAATGATCGATGATAGAGGTGCCCAAATTTGGAGATTGGCTTGATTGCTTACCAAACAAAAAAAGGGGGGGGGGGGGTGAATTTAAGAAGGGGTCCCCAAGAAATTAAAAGCCTTAGTACCAGTGCGGTTCTTCGATTAATCATTTTTATTGAATTCAAAGATGCCCTCTCATAAGAGGAGGAAGAGGGTAGGAGCTATAAATGATCATGCTAAAATTAATGGAAATTGTTAATTGTTTTATTAATTACTTTCATCCGAGGCTTTTGAATATCCTTTTTATTTTTTTTTGTTTATCTTGACTAGATTGCAGACCATATGGGGGATGGTGGGTCATGGCCTCATGGGACATGGGGTCCAATAATTAAGATTCAAAGGGTGTTAGTCTTAGTCGTACCTACTACCTAATGACATCAATGATGGTCTTATCAACAACCTCTGAACAGCCAATGCAATTGACCATGCACCCATAAATAATAAATTAAGTACTCTTATTAAAGGTATAGTACGTAGAGCCAATCTGATTTTGACACGTGGGTTCTTCAAGATCCTGGGGCCCATTCAATGGCAAGTGCTAAGAAGGGTATCAAGAACAGCTTTTGAATTTGTACTCTTTTAACACACCCTTCATCCTTCAACTTGCATGCTTAACGTGTTAATTATTTAATAATATTTATATTTATATATTAGTAAGAGTCTAAGAGACTAATAGAGACTGTAAAGAGTAAAAGAAAAGAAAGAAAACCAGTTACCAGAGGCAGAAGTAGGCTAGGCTAGTAGACAGACAGACAGCTTACAGCTAGGAGAAGCACCAGGTCTGGGCTGGGCTGGGCTGGGCTGGGCTGGGGCACAACCCGATTGAAGTTTCCATTTTCCAATTTCCACCTAAAGCGGCAAAGCGTGCGCAAAGCAGTTTAGTAATTAAGAAGCAAATCTTATCTTAAAAAGGAAAATGAAAACCCAAAAGGCCAAAGCCCATCTCCGTGGATTTCCAATTCCATTCCGATTCCATTGCATTCATTATCATTGAGTAAGATAAGGAAAAGTGTAAAACCAGGTCAATTAAACCACGTTAACTGAAACCGATAACCAACCCCGCAAAGCACGCAAGCAAAAACAATTGACTAAACAATAACGACGACGACAATCATACCATCGTCATCACCATTTATTTCATCAGTATATAAAGCCTTAGCCAGCTGCAGCACCATTGCCATTATCAAACAATTCATCAACCACGAAACAAAGCTAAGTGCCCAAGTGAAATAAACTGTGCGTACAGTTATCACTCTCTCTCTCTCTCTCTCAAAGTATTTTCTTTTTTTTTTTTTTTTTAATTTTCAACTCTCCTACTCTGTCTGTCTATCTGTCTCTATGCCGTTCTCCCTCTGGTGTCTTACTTTGTCCTGGCTGCACTGCAGACTTTCCTTCCAAATGCATAGAGGTCCCAATAGGCAACTTCCCTCAGAAAACCCAGAAAAAATATCAATAAGATCTCCCCACCCCACTGTTCTGCTCTTCCAATCTCTCTCTCTCTCTCTCCCTCCAAGAATCCAGTAATAAAGACTCTCCGGCATCCCTGCTCCATTTCACGGCAACTTTCAGGCCGTACAACACTATAACATACTCCTTTTCTTTTCACCAACTTCATCATCATCATCATCATCATCATCATCATCATCATCATCATCATCATCATCTTCTTCTTCTTCTTCTTCTTCTTCTTCTTCTGTTATACGTCTTTTGCCTTTTCGTTTCATTCCATTTTATATGTCTTTTCCTTTATAAGTACTAACCAGTTAGTGATTTTTGAATTGTTTTCAGGAGTGAGAGATTGATTAAGCAGTTTGTATTGACAAAGCAATTCTATTTCAAGTGAAGGAATTACTCGTACTTGGTTGCAGACTGTAACGGAGAAATGTGGCTGGGGAGACTTCTCTGCTTGCTGGTTTTGTTTGGATTTCTCGGGACAGAAAGTGTATCCGGGATTGTTCTGCCAAGACGGATTCTTTTCGATACCGACGTCGACACTGATGATTTCTTTGCTCTTCTGTATCTGTTGAAGCAGAACAGAACAGAAATCGACTTGAAGGTATTGTTTCTCTATCCAAGAACTTCAGACGATTGCATATTTGTGTTGTGAACACTTGGAGTTCAAAACATCCCTTTGACCACTAACTTAGCTAGCAGATAAAGTGGCTACAGTCCTCTTGTCGGTTTTTGAATTATTCATGATTGATTCGTGCAGAAGAATCAATTGAGAATTGTATTTAGATTAAGTCAAGTTGGTGCAAATCACTATTGGCCCAGAAGAAAGACTTCAACTTGTGGTGCTTTTTGTAAGGCTTCTTTGCCTTTCAAGAATCAAGACTGGACTGTGTCATTCAAGCCTCTGTTGCATTGCATGCTTCAGGGATTGTATGAGACCTTCTAAGGTCAAAACATAATAAGTCTCTGGAGTGGAATTTTATTGCTTTGTTTCCACAAATTGAATCTCTTAGGTTTGTTTCATGGTAAATTAACATGTTCTTGACTTGTAAACTGAAAAAAAAAAACTGTATCTTTTTTTAAATCTCCTTTTGACAAAGTGCATTCTCAGGAGCTTTGTCCTTTGATGTTTTCAAGCATCAGATCACATACTTTATCACTTTGGACATTTATTGTAACCTTAATACTAATTGCATGCACAGCCATGAAGTACTTTTATACTAAATGCTTATCTTACTTTTAAAATTAAAAGTATTATCTTGCTGCAGGCAGTCACTATCAACACCAATGCATGGACTAATGCCGGACATGCTGTGAATCAAATCTATGATATTCTCTACATGATGGGTCGTGATGACATTGCAGTTGGGATAGGAGGTGAAGGTGGAATACTACCAAATGGTACTATCCTTCCAAATGTTGGTGGATTTCTTCCATTAATTGATCAGGTTAAATGGAGTACCATTCTCCTATGCTGTTTCATATGCAACATACCAATCCCCTTTTCTCCACATCATTTCTAGAACATTTCCTTCAATAATCCACATAAAAATTATGCTAATGTCTTGTTCATAATTTTCATATATCTCTGTGAAAGATCTATTAGCTCCCGTGTGTTGATAGATACTCTTGATGGTTATTCATTTTCCCAGTGTCTTTAACATTTTTGGCAGGGAACTTCAACTGCTGGAGGTTGTCGGTACAGACAGGCTATTCCTTTAGGTTCTGGGGGGAGATTAGATATTGATACAAACTATGGACTGCGAAAAGGTTTCCTTCCACAGGTATGGAATTTGGTAGTCTTAACAGCTTTCCTAAAAGTTAGAACCTTTCTGCAGATTGTGAAAAGAATATATAGTTAAGGGATGTGGAGAACAATTGACAACTAGAATTCTGTAATTGATATGTATGCAGGCTTTATGATCTTCCCTGAATTCTAATTCTAGCTCATGCATTTGATTTTTGTCAAAGCAGGGGAAGAGACAATATTGGCCCCTTCAGCAACCTACTGCACAACAATTGATGATAGACACAATATCCAAGGGTCCTGTTACTTTACTCATTACTGGAGCTCATACAAACTTTGCCCTTTTCCTCATGAATAATCCTCACCTGAAGAACAACATTGATCATATTTATGTCATGGGTGGTGGTGTGAGGTCTAATAACCCAACTGGTTGCTGCCCTAAGAACGCCATCTCTTGCAAGCCTAAACAATGTGGTGATATTGGTAATCTGTTTACAGCATTTAACAGCAACCCATATGCTGAATTCAATATCTTTGGAGATCCTTTTGCTGCATACCAGGTAATACAAGTTCTTGAAATTGTAGATCAGTCAAAGGGCATTATCAAAAAATAACTGGGGTAGCATCTGTATAAAATGAAAGGGAACTATGCATCTCAATATAATCTTAGTATTTCCTTTTTTTCATTGTATACTGTACTATATGCTTGTAACAGGTTTCTTCATTTTGCTTTATAATATAAATTTACTTACCTCTTAAAAAATTTATACTTTACTATATGCTTACAACACATTGACGCTTGTGATTCTTCCTTTGGTTGTAGGTTTTCCATTCTGGCATTCCAATCACCCTTGTTCCCTTGGATGCAACAAACACTATCCCTATAACTCAGGATTTTTTCACAGAATTTGAAAAGAGACAGAATACTTATGAGTCACAATACTGCTTTAGGTCCTTAAAGATGGCTCATGATATTTGGTTTGATGACCAATTCTTTAAGGTAGTTACTAAGCTCTACTTTTTGTTGATTTCTGTTCCCCTGTGTAATGACTATTTTATCTTCTGGCATTTCTTGGTTAAATGCATAAACATTGTAGAATAACATGATCAATGGTACTCCTTAAGTGATTTTAACTGAGCTAATAAAAAGAGGATGGCCTCTGCAGAGCTATTTTATGTGGGATTCTTTTACATCTGGTGTAGCTGTATCAATCATGCGTAACTTGCATGACCATGATGGGGAAAATGAATTTGCTGAGATGAAGTATATGAACATTACAGTAATGACATCAAATGAACCATATGGGATATCTGATGGCTCAAATCCATTCTTTGATGGTCGCACAGTTCCAATGTTTAATTTACAGAAAAATGGAGTGCATAGTGGTCATGTTCAGATGGGGGTTCAAGATCCCTTTTGCTTTGTAAAGAATGGGAAAGGGAGATGCCAGGTAGTTTATTGTTGACTTTTCTCTTAGTGGAATATAATTAGTCTTGTATGATCTAATGGAATAGTGCATTGCAAGCAGGATGGTTACACAAAGGAGATAACTGGTAAAGAGGCAGTACGTGTTCTTGTTGCTACAAAGGCGAAACCAAATCAAGACATTGACAGTTTGCTGGACCGAGAATTTTTTAAAAGCTTCTTGGATGTAAATGATTCTCAGTGTTCCTTTCTTCAGGTTCTTTATGTTTAGATTCGTGCATTTCTTTACTAATTGCACACAATAAATGTTGTTTGAGAGCAGGTTCTAAACCTTCCTCAGCAATCTGGGAGGTTCAATATTTCGACTCAGTTTCCCTACTATCGAGAGGTTATGTACAAGCCAAATTTTGGAACAAGAAAATTGGGAAAACCTGTTATATTTGACATGGATATGAGTGCTGGAGATTTTCTCTCTCTAATTTATCTCCTAAAAGTACCTGTTGAAGTAATAAATCTCAAGGTACAGTTGGTTTCCCTCTTCTTTTCTTTCTTAATTTCATTGGTTATTACCTAAAGGCAATGTACTCAAAGTATTATCCAGGGGATTTAATTGCCTAGCTAGTATCCTTGGCACATAAACCTAAATTAGTGTCTAGGCAGGCAGTGTCTTGATGGTAGACTGGTAGTTGCATTGGTATAATTTCAAATACAAGGGTCAGAGATAAGGCGATAACTTGAATACTGCTTCCATGGTTAAAAAGAAATTGAAACTAAGTCATTTGTTTATTTAGATTAATTGAACAATTTACTTGAAGGATTTTCTAAAAGTGATTGAGTTTATTATTAAAAGGAACTCAACTTGAGCAACTCTTATTCCAACAATTTGGTTGGGCTACATGGATCCTATTTTGCCATTCCACTCTAGCAAATGACACATCTTCTTTTAAATTGTGAATATTTTCTTCAAATAAAACAAGGATAATTGGTTCATGAGGTTTGGGGTCCTCATCCCCTTTCTTCTCCTCTCTCCATTCAAGTCAATGTCAAAGGATCATTTAAAGTCAGTTCTCACACTTATAGTTTTACGCAATTCTTTACCACTTCTATGGCTGTCTGTCTTTTCCCTTCCAATGTCTGAATTTATATGCATTACAATTAGATGCCTTACCTTTTACTTTATGAATTAAGTTATGTGATTTTTAACATTTTTTGGTTGCACTGGTATCCGTTTATTATTTGTCTAAATTGGGATGCAACTTGTGTGCCTTCTTATTTATTGTCATGTAAATAGAGCAAAAATATTACCTATGGTTTGCAATTTAGAAAGTTAATAAATGACATTTGGATCTGATCACCATGCAAGGCTATCCATCATCTAGGCAGTGTCTTTCCTAGAAAGGCTATAATTTGCCCAGGCATAGTCTGGATGCCCCTGACTACACTGCTTATATGAATACAAGGATCTTTAATGAGGCAATAGCTTCAATTAGAAAATGAGTTCTACTCCACTAACATTATGTCAATATCTAAATTTGTGTAAACATTCAAGGGGCATATGGATGATTATACTTGATGAATCATGGCTCTCATGTCATGATACCAGTACCAACTTCATATGGGCAGCACAGTTGGTGGAAGATCTTGAGAGTCAAAGATACCACCTAGACACTTATTCCCTCAGGAATGCCAATTTATGAAGTATTTTTTTTTTCATGTAACTAAAAACCCGTCTTTTTTGTGTCCAAGTTTAAGACCACTTGCTGTCTGATTGAGATGGATCATGGACCATTATGAAGTACTTTTTACCTTGCAACTCAAGCAGTTATCACATATTTCTTGCATCTTCCAAAGAATAATTAACAAGTCAATTTTCTGAAAAATGTAAATTCATTACAAATAGACTAGCTTTCACCTGCTTTGTCAGCTAATTATTTTGAGAACCCTGACATACAAGTTACATTTCCCTTTGGCTTATTCTCTCTTTCATCAGGGAATATTGGTAAGTCCAACTGGCTGGGCAAATGCTGCAACAATTGACATCATCTATGATATACTGCATATGATGGGCCGTGATGACATTCCAGTTGGTTTGGGAAGCATGTTTGCAATTGGTGAGGTAAATCCATATTTTCCTTCTGTTGGAGACTGCAAGTATGTCAAGGCTATACCACATGGCAGTGGTGGATTTCTGGACTCTGATACACTTTATGGATTTGCTCGTAATTTGCCACGAAGCCCTAGAAGGTAGTCCTTGCATCCTGTTAGAATTTAATTGTAAGTTCTTTCTGAAAGGTTGTTTTCTGCATCAATCATAGAACTCTCACTCTCCTAATGTGGTTAATTACATATTTGGTGTTTGAAATGAAACTTACAGAACTTAGATCTTTTTTATTTCTAGGCCATGTTTATGAAACCTAACACCATTTACAATGACGGCTAAGATTTATTGTCCAAATAAATGTAATATGTTCTCCCATCACCCCCATGATGCAAAAGCTGGGATTCTACATAAACACTGATAGTGTTTTCTACTACAATATATTCATTTCCTATTTTAGGTTCATAAATGAAAGACCAAAAGCTTTAATTCTTTAGGCCTTGAAGATAAAATCAACACCTAAGGTGCAGAAATGGTTATAGACATTGCTAAATGACAATGTTCCCTCATCTATTTCAGCATCCTCATATCTGTTGTGCTGATTTTATGGGTATATTTGCCCAAGAATATACCAATCACGTTGATGGTACCTCTTTTCTGGCATCATCGGCATAATTGTCAAATAATAGACATGGAATCTCCACCTATGAATGCCCAGTTGACATCCCTAACCATACCATAACAATCTTCACGGTGAGCAGTACATGGGTGGCATCATGAATACATAAATATTAAGAGACTTTAATAAAAGATACATGTACATATGAACACAATGTGCTTCTGTGTAGAAAAAACTATTATATCTAATGGAAAGTAATAATGCTGCACTTATGTGTATTAAATTTATTGTTTATGTTGCCTTCTTTACATGAACAAGATTCCTTTTAGGTGTATCTCTCTGAACTATTGATAAGTTTAATAAGAAAAAATAAAGAAAGATGAATGAAAAATGTCTTAGATACAAAACATAAAGATAGATGTATGCTAAAATGTGCACTCTCACTGTACAAAACTTAGCCTCAGTATACCTTTTAGACAGAGAATCCATTAACCCATTCTCTTACCTGGGACTACACTCTCACTGTACAAAACTTACCTGTGATGACCCAGCATGCTGCCTTAACCTCAGTGTTATCAGACCTTGTTGTAGGTAAGGATGCCTATATTGAAGAAAATCCTATTTCTTTTATGCAGAAACCCCCCAAAATGGATAGGGAGTAGCTTACAAAGTACTGATTTCACTAAGCACCAACTTGTTTAGAGAACCTCAAAAATGGTGCCAAATCATCCAGACCGCTTTTCAATGAATAAGTAGTTGATTAATAGATTCACTGCAACATATACATGCAGAAACAAAACATTTTTCCTTCTTTTTTATGCTATTATACCTGGATACCTGTAGAAGACTGCAAACTGTGTCATATAATTCAAATTTTAGTAGAAGACTGCCATGCAGAAACAAAGTCTTTGTTGTTGATTTTTTATTCTTGAATTTATCTTGTTGTCTTGTTATTTCATACTCCTGGAAATTTATTTATTCATTGAATGCCACTTGGAGTTACATTTCAGGTATACAGCAGAGAATTCTGTGAAGTTTGGAGCTCCTAGAGATACTGATCATCCTGAACTCAGACAACCTTTAGCATTAGAAGTTTGGAACTCCATTCTGAGTACAATGGATTCAGGATCTAAAATTACAATATTAACCAATGGACCTCTGACTAATTTAGCGAATATTCTTTCTTCAAACAAGAAGGCAAGTTCAGTGATTCAGGTCAGTGTCTTTTCAAGTTCTTCTTGATCTTCTCTTTATTCTTTCAGAACCTAGACATTTCACTAACTTCATAGAACTTTATGAATCCCTATTTAATAATATCATCAGTTGTTTATTCCTGCTTGCAGAATGTATATATAGTTGGGGGACACATCAGCTGCAATAGCATGGATATAGGAAATGTTTTCACAGTTCCTTCAAACAAATATGCAGAATTCAACCTATTTCTTGATCCATTTGCTGCAAAGAAGGTCTTTGAATCGAAACTTGATATCACACTCATTCCACTTGGCATCCAAAGGCAAGTCGGTTCCTTTCCTAAGATTCTGGAGAGCTTGTGGCTTGCACAAAAGACACCTGAAGCTGTATTTGCAAACAAGTTTCTGTCAGTGCTATCTGGTTTACAGAAAAAGCATCCAAGCTACCAACATATGGTAAGGAGAAATACATTTCTAAATGTGAACAGAGGAAACTAAAATACCATTCTAGTATACTTTGAGGACAGTCTACCAGTGGAATGCCAAATGCTGGTAGACATGGTGAATGAGCATGGTTCAGGGACCCACATATTGCTTCAATCTTACATTTTAGATAGGGCATGAAATGGAGTGCTCAATCCAATAGTCAACCCTGCTCCATACCCACACTTAGTGGATAACCCAATGACAAGGATCTGAAAAATAAAGTGAACAGAGTAAGGATCCCCACCATACATGTTTTGCTCTTAGATCCAACTAGTTATTCCAACACTGAATGCATAAAAGGATCAGGCATGGTTCCATACTATAAGATCTAATGAGGATCTAAATGTGTAAACCCACTTCTTCCATTCAGATATGGATCTGCTTGTGATCTTACCCATTTCTAGCCCTGAATTTGGAGGAGAAAAATAGAACCAATTGAATCATTGTAGACAATGGGTTCATGAACCTTTTAGTTTTTGAACGGCTAGACCTATCACCCTTTTCTTTGGACAGCCCAAGGAGAAAGTTATAGACTGCTTTATGAGGATCTTCTGAAAAGGTCAAACTTAGCCTACAAAATCCATAGATGAGACAAAAGGTCAAGCTTAACCTTTTTTTTTTTTTTTTTGCAGTAGCTTGCATACACTATTGTTTGTGTAACTTGTGCTTTAGTAGCTGCTCTAGTTACTTTCTGTTTTATCTGGCTACAGGATACATTTTTGGGCGAAATTCTCGGTGCAATAATCTTGGCTGATGATCATAATGATCTACAACTAACTTCACAAATCAAGCCCATTAAAGTCTTGGCTACTGGTGATGTATCCAGAGATGGACAAATTAACATTGATGAAAAAAAGGGAAAGTTGGTCAAAATATTGGAAAGTGTGAACCCTGTGGCATATTATGATCACTTTGCAAGTCGATTGTGTGATAAATTGCAGTCTGCTGTGATTGGCAGCTTTGATGAGCAGAAAAGAATCTGGAGTAGACCTCCAAACTAAAACCGAAAGAATCACTGAAACAAAGTAGAATTTATTTCAACAATAAGAAATAATTCTTTTACTTTGGTTCACATTATACAACAATCTTCATTTGTATTATTGATATTGGAGATATTTACAGGATGGCATACTTGTAATAAACAGTGTGAAGTACAAGTTCAATGAAAGATAAAAGAAAAGGAATTTACACTGAAGTTTTTGTTTTCTTGTTGAGAAAAGTGGTTTCATAATGCATCAAGTCATCTCTCATATCACCATCTTTCAAGCTCAAACTTTTAAAGGTATTTTTTTCAAAACCCTTGAAACTAAAAGAAAATTGACACCATGTATTTTTGGGATAATGACACTTAACCTCTTGAACTTTCTTTTCCAATGAAGACCTACCATGAACTTTCAAATAGGGATGACAATTCCTGTTCTCATGTCATGTCGTGGTATGGGCATTCAGATATAAGGGTGGATGCAAATATGGCCTGTTTATTGCACTGGTAACATGACATGACTTGCATAACTAGAATTAACACAAAATCAACATGGAAATTAAATAATAAATAGATTTGAGTAATAAAATAAATATTCAACCATCAATTACTTAAATAAATTCTATTGAGTTTTGGGCTGATATAACATGTTTTTTATTTACATAGCATAGTTAGGGAGTTATTGGGCCTTAGGCCCATTAGTTTACATTTTAAGTTAAGAGTGTTTTTAAGTTCTCAAAAGTAGTTGACTTACTAAGGGCATACTTGTCTTTGTACTCTCTTTTATTTATGAGTATATAATCTAATGAAATGAACGACCATACCTAATTTTAAGCTTCCCCATTCTCTTCTCTCTCTTTCTCAACCGAAACCTTTTCTTCTCTTTGTTTTCTTCTTTCTTTTACAGTTTTTATATCAAAACAGGTTGTCCGAATTTTCTACTACTCATAAAACTATTTGATGTTATCTTTACCTGCCATAATAGTATTTTATCCAAATGTATATACATTATCTAATACTTGAAACTTTGGGACATAAACAGGTCATTTTCGAGTTAGGTGGGTCAATCTTAAATTGAAACATTTATTAATCATGTTATCGTGCTAAACGGGTCAACATGATTTGACATAATATTATTAAGACAAACCCAAACCCATTAAACTTGTGTTGTGTTCGAGCCATTGTTTATGCCTCATGTCAAATATTCATAGCCCTACTTTTAGATTCTACTATCAAAAAAAGATTCTCATGTGATTATCATGCGCATATTCAAACATTTTTAAAACCTCAAACTGTCCTTACGTCATTTTATGAGACCATTATTTAGAAAATTGGTAATATAAAAAAAAGAAGAAAAGGAAGAGTATGAAATTGTAGAAAATACAATAAATAGACAAAAAATGAATAAAAAAATATACAAAAAACATAGGAAATATAGAAAACAATTAAAATTACAAAGACAAAACAAAAAAGTACAAAAAGGGAAATTGAGAAAATACAAAAAGAATACAGAAAATTTTTGAAAACAAGAAAAAGAGGAAAGTTATAAAAAGACAAAAAGAAAAGGAATATAGAACTTTAAAGGAGCATTTTCATAAATTTATCTTTACCGCCAAACCCATTAATTGGGTGGGGGCGAAATGGTGGAATGTGAAAGGTTAGGATAAGTCTTTATCACAAATTAAAGTTCGGGGGGCTAAGTTTCATGCAATACAAAGACATTTTGTTGCAAAAACCCAAGAAAAGCATATTTGAATAGCACCCCAAATGAAAGTAAAACAAAGATAAAGAGAAGCAAGCACAGAGAACACACAAATTTACATGGTTCGGGCTTATAGCCTACACCCAGAGTGAGGGAAGAGCAGAAATCCACTACGTAGTCAACAATGGAGAAGAAATAGAGTTGGGCACTAACAACACCACTCATAGAAATCCCTAAACCCCAAATACACCTAATGTTTCACTCTTCTCTCACAAGACAAAGACTAAGTATACAAGAGAGAAAACCCCCGAAATACATAACTCTTCGTATTCAGTTCGGATCTATAAGCTAAATATGGATCGGGTCCATACCGTCGTGGGGGATACGCCCCCACACCCCCCAATGGTGATTTGTGGTGGGCTATATGCTATGCTTCCACCACAAACTACTATGAAATTTTGCATTCGTTTTTTTCTCAAATTAATTCAGAGTGGATTCATGAAGTAGGTCGCCATAAAGAATTTAAGGCACAAACATAACAAATCTCCACCTTGGCTTAAATTATCTCAAGCATCATAGAATAGCAATCTCCCTCCACCTTCTCCAACAAAAGCCCCAATGGGCAAACTCAAATGTTGTAAACACCAGTTAAGTCCAAGCAATGCTTGAACTTAGCCACAAGAAGAGGCTCTGTTAACATATCAGATGGGGTATTTGCAGTACCAATCTTCTTGACAATGATATCTCCTTGTTCTACAATATCATGAACAAAATGGTACCTCACATTAATGTGTTTTGTCCTCTCGTGATACACTTGATCCATGGTCATATGAATAACACTTTGACTATCACAGTACACGACAGTCACCTTTGAAACCAAACTGAAATCACCAAACAAACTCTCAATCAAATACCTTCTTTAACTACCTCAGTCACTACCATATACCCAACCTTAGTAGTAGATAAAGCAACTTTAAATTGTAAACTAGTTTTCCAATTAACAGCACAACCACCAATAACAAATACATAACCTGTGAGTGACCTCTTGTCAAGATCACCTACATAATTTGAATCAATATTAACCCATCAAACTATCACTACTCCTCCCAAACTCCAAACAAGCATTTGATGTTCCTTTCAAGTATCTAAGAATCCACTTCACTACCTACCAATGTGCCTTGTTAGGAAATGACATATATCTGCTCACCACACTAATTGCATGTGAAATGCTAGGTTGTGTGCAAATCATAGCATACCTAATACTCCTAGTTGCACTGGAATAAGGGACATATGACATATCTTTCTTTTTCATCTATATATGGTGATAAATTAGCTAAAAGTCTAAAGTGTGCTGCAAGAGAAGTACTTATTGGTTTAACATCTTTAATGCCAAAATGCTCTAAGACCTTCTCAACATACTTTTGTTGTGTCAAATACAACTTCCTTTCTTTTCAATCCATTTTAATCTCTATGCCAAGAATTTTCTTTTCTACACCCAAATCTTTCATTTCATACTCACTACTCAACTGTGTTTTTAATCTGTTGATTTCAAATATTTCTCTTACTACAATAAGCATATCATCAACATAAAGCAACAAGTAAACAAAAGAATCATCTATAAGTTTCCTAAAATAAACACAACTATCATACTTGCATATGGAATACCTAAGAGCCACCATAAGAGAGACAAATCTTCTATACCATTGTCTAGGAGACTGTTTTAAACCATACAAATATTTCTTTAACAAACAAACATGGTCTTCCTTCCCTTCAACAATAAAACCCTCAGGTTGATGCATATAAATCATCTTTTCAAGTTCTCCATCTAACTGTTCTAATTCCAAATTATGCATGGAAACCAAAGCAAAAAAAAAGAAAAAAAACACGAATAGAACTATGTATAACAACTAGTGAGAAAACATCATTAAAGTCAATACCTTGTTCCTGACTATAGCCTTTTGCAACCAGACGTGCCTTATATCTAGCATCCTCTACACTTGGAGTACCTTCTTTCCATTTGAAAACCTATTTTCATCCAACAATCTTCTTTCCTTTAGGTGGTCTTGCCAACTCCCAAGTCTGGTTCTTATTGCAATGATTCAATCTCTTCATGCACAGTTGCCAACCACTTAGCAAAATCAATAGATGAGATAGGTTATGCATAAATATTAGGTTCTACAACATCAACATTCTCTGCAACTGGCAATGCATAAGCAACTAGATCAGCATAACCATATCTCTTAGGTGGTCTAACCTCTATCCTTGTTCTGTCTCAAGCAATAGAATATTTCTCCTCCTCCTCTTCCTCTTGTACATGTTTTTCCATCTTAGTAGAAATGGGCACCTAGATTACTGTAAACTAAGGTGAGGAAGAACTTGTAACTCCACCTTCTCTCCTAAACCTTGTATTTTATCTATATCACAAGAAATGGAAGACTCCTTTCTCGGGTGAAGCATAATAGACACATCAAAAGTAGCATCTCTACTGACTATGAGTTTTGGTGGTTTAGGATTAGGACACCACAATCAATATCCCTTCACACTTGAAACATAACCAAGAAATATACACTTCTTGGCCCTAGGCTCAAGCTTGCCTTCATTAACATGTGCATGTGTTAGACAACCAAATATTTTCATATTTGAATAATCAGGAGGGTTGCCAGGCTATACTTCTCATGGAATCTTACACTCAGTGGCAATAGATGGAGATTGATTACCAAGTGACAAAAAATATTAATTGCTTTTGCCCAAAAATTCTTGGAGATACCAACATTTGACAACATGCACATTGCTCTCTCTAGTAGAGTTTTGTTCATACGTTCTACAACTCCATTCTGCTATGGTGTTTTGACAACAATACGATGCCTTACAATGCCTTTATTTTTGTAGAATTCATTAAATTCATTTTCACAAAACTCTAAACCATTATCTATTCTCAACTGCTTGACCTACTTTCCTGTTTACTTTTCAAACAATGTTTTCCATTATTTAAAAGTCACAAATACATCATTTTTATACTTCAGAAAATAAACCCATACCTTTCTGGAGTAGTCACCAATGATGGTAAGGAGATATCGAGCACCACCCTTTGATGGAACTTGTAAAGGTCCCCATAGATCTGAGTGAACATAATCCAAATTGTTCTTTTTCCTATGAATGGCTATACTCAAACTGGTTCTTTTCTACTTCTCGAAAACACAATGTTCACGGAAGTCGAGCTTTCTTGTACTTTGGCCACAAAGAAAACCTCTCCTGCTTAATACAGTTATTGCCTTTCACTCATATGTCTTAGTCTCATGTTCCATAACTTGGTAATGTCAGACTCAGATAGGGATGATGTAGAAATTGCAATTGAACATGTGATAGTAATACCCTGTAGTACATATAGACTTCCTATCCTCATGCCTTTCATCACAACAAGAGCACCTTTACTGACTTTCAAAACTCCACCTTCAGTTGAATACTTACACTCATTAGCATCTAGAGTGCCAAGAGAAATGAGATTTTTCTT